CCAGAAATATCTTGCTCAAATATTTGACAGAGGGTCAGGCTTTGGCCTGACTTTGGGACTTGAACCTATATGGGATATGATATGCATAGTAAAGACTAACTTTATTTATTCATATTGGATTCAATTTCAAGGGTTCGACATACTGTAGTACAGAAATTATTATCTTCGTATAATAAAAAACACAATTATGGGATACCAATGCGGGGATGTTTTCAACCAGGAATCATATTGCCAAAAATATCGATCATTGAATTACCGTATTTCACTCCTATATAATGATCTTGAGGTAACACGGCATGTGAAGGATTCTGCTTCGTGTATATGATAAATACTTAAAGCAAGATTGGGGATGTATTCAAAATCAAGGATGACCTATGATGTGTAAATCGTTGCAAGGAATCTTTATTTTATGGGTCAAGTGATTTCGCGCAGTATGAAAAAATTGCTTCATCAAAAAATGCACATACTGTACAAGCTAACATTATTTTTTGTAAATAGAGCGAATGAATGCGTATTACAAACTTGGAAAACACGTATTGTATTACAGCATATGCATTCCTATGTACAAGTTACTCACTGGAAAATGGATACTATATCTTTAAGCAAGTTTTGTAACACAGTGACCCCTGATCATTGAGAATTAACGTTTTTTTCTTTGTGTTCAATCACCACAGGATTGCCAAGAAAGTAATTATTTGTTTGTAAATCAAATACTGTATCCGATAATCAGGAATTTTTTTTGTAAGACCAATTAAAAAAATCGCGTCTAAAACCTGCTATTTTTGTACTCTGAAATATGAACAATGCATCAAGCACTCCGGGACAGGATCAAAAATCTCCGTTCTTTTGAAATACATGCTTTCATTGTTCTTATAAATAATTACAGTTCCATATATCATACTTAAATGTCGAGTTGTTGTTCACACACAAGCAGGGGTTTTAAATTCAAATTAAGTATTACACTTTAAAATATTGTTCCCAAATGTTTTCGGTTAACATAACGAATCGCATTAAGAACGCATTTTTGATTTATTGTTTTGGTTATACGATTTGTATGCAGAATGCGCGTAAGAACTTTAACACTCCAATGAAAACACAAAAAAAAGTGAATGAAATTATTTAAAAAGGATATAAAGAAACGATACGTATTATGCAGTAATTTTTATATCATAAAATGCATACAACGGTATTGGTATGATTTAAAGCTTTCGCTAAAATTCCTTTAATATACAAGAGAAATAAGAAATAAATTTCTAAATATCTCATATTCATATATTTTCATTTTAAAATTCAATACGTCAACGCGAGGGTGTAATTGGGAATTACTGATTTTAGTCAATTTATTTATGGAACTCTGCTAGTTTAAAAGTTTATGCTGTCTACTCACATATGCAAACATATTTTTTTTGACACCTTTCGTGTAACTTTTTTGTTCTAAAAAAAAAATATTAAGTGTGGAATTTCTATATAGGGTTCAAAACTGCATGTACACTATGCACTACATAATAAAGTTAATGTACAGTATTGATGAATTAAAGAGCCGTGAAACGTGTTTAGTTATCGAATGATGCGAACGGGCTTTAGCATAAGCATCAAGAATAGGATACCATTCCTATACGAAATGTATTCAACAGGATGTTATAAAAGAAGCTTTTCTTTTTACCTTTCCCTACAACCCATTATCAAAAAAAAAAAAAGATAATACGATAAAATGTGGTTCAAGCCTATATTCATATTTATTGGCCTAATTTGGTACAGTCTCTTTGGATCCGCAGCTCCTCCACCGGAGAAAGATTATAAATCTCTTTTCCACACCAATATTTTTGAAGCGTTTACACCGTTACCAGAATATCCCAAAAATGTAACCCGTAATTATACATTTGAACTGTTAAATGTTTACTTAGCTCCTGATGGCTTCACTCGTCCGGTATGGTCGGTGAATGGGCAGTAAGTATCATTTCTCTTAGTAATTAAATGACTGAAACATCTCCCGATTAATTAATTCTATCTTGAAGATACCCCGGTCCGATGATCCGTGCAAACTTTGGTGATAAATTTAATATTACAGTGATAAATCGTTTGGGTGATC